CGCCTACCTTCTCTGGTCCAAACAAATCCAGAGCATGAGGTCATGTTTCCTTAATGTCTGATCATATAGTAAGGTCATTCATCTTACATATTGTTCCTTTAAGATAGATAGCTCAAAGTAACAGAGTGATAGTTGTCTGTATGTCCAGGGCAGCATGTTGGTGTTAGCATGTTTGCTAAAGAGGATGTCATAAATGTTTCTGCTAATGTGGATACATGTTAACGTGGTTTAACTCTCTGTCTGTCTGTCAGGAGTCTCTGTCCAGCTGGTTGGACAGCGCCCTGTCTCACATCTCAGAGATCATCCAGCTGGAGGACGTCCCCTCCATCCAGATGGAGGTCGGAGTTTTGGTTCGCGAGTTTCCAGACGTCAGGTACAAAAAAAACATTCAACAAACCCTCCTCTTGTTCTTCCATTTCTCCTAATAGTCATTATTGCATTTTGTCTTATTTGACTTTTTTCCTCTTATGTAACCCTAACCCTTCAAATTTGTAGTCCTCTGCTTCTTTTCAATGTTAAAAGTTAAACAGATAAACCCGTTTCTTTGCCCTTGTTGTGTATTAAGACCAGTTTTTGATTGCTTCTTACATTACTATTTTATTACTACAAATGACTGGCAATGCCCCAGTGTCATCAGTCCTGTGTGAAGAGGGCAAAAAGTATAATCTGACGGGAAACTACAGAAAGATCATGGTATGTGTGAGAAAGAGAAACTGAAGACAAAGCATTAACACATAAACACTTTCCTTCCTTTCGGATAGTGACCCGACTGCTGAGAAATGTCACCTTTAACCCACTGAGCCTTTGTGTCTGTGTGTGTGTGTGTGTGTGTGTGTGTGTTCTATATTAAGTCTGGCACTCTTGTTATTGTTCTCCTAATAGCTGTATGTATTATATTTACCTCCACAATGTGTCCTGTGAGACGCCTCTCTGCAGTCTGCTCATACAGCCCGACTCCACTAATATCCTATGAGTACATTTTCTTCTTGAACTCTTAAAAATCTGCTGAAACATGAAGGGTCAATACAGAAGTTTAAAACCTGGGCCATACTGTATGTCTAAAACAATAAAAGTAAAAACATGTTTGGTAAAGTACCAATAGATTTTTCAGCCCGTAGCCATGAAACAGGCTGTAGTGTCTTGATGGGTCAAAGTGTGTCCACTTAAAGTTGTTGTTGTCCCCGACAGGCTCAGATTGTTATTCTAAGTTTGTGACAACATCAGAGACCTTTTTGTTTTACAGGAAGATGCATCTGTTACATCGCCCTCTTCTAAGACATCAGACTCTACTGACTTAGACTTACATACGAGTTAACATTAAAAAGACACATTTACAGGATATTAAATCATTGTGTAGAGGATTCATGAGACAGGATGGAGAATGATGGACTGGATATGCCAGTGATATGAGATGTGAAAATGCAGAGAATCGATGTTACGGATATCTGGTGGTAGGGAGTTCCAGAGGCGGGGGAGGGGCAGAGCGGCTGAAGGCTCTGGACCCCATGGTGGTCAGGTGGACGGGTCAGGTGTTGCACTGAGTTGAGAGTGCAGGTTGGTTTGTTGATGTGCAGGAGGTCAGAGAGGTACAAAGGAGCGAGGTTATGGACGGCCTTCAAGGTGAGGAGCAGAATCTTGAAGTCGATGTGATATTTAACCGATGCTGAAGGAGAGGAGTGATGGGATTAATGGAGGGTGTTCTGGAGCGGCAGAGTTCTGGACCAGTTGAAGTTTGTGGATGGACTTGAGAGGAAGACCAAAGAGAAGGGAGCTGCAGTAATCAATGCGAGATGTAACCAGGGTGTTAACGAGGATGGCGTTACTGGTGGGTGTCAGGGACAGTCGGAAGTGATTAATGTTGGGCTGGATAAAGGATTATCTTATCTTATCTTATGTAGCTAAGCACACTTCATGATCACGTAAAGCCATGAGTGTGTTGTATTAAGACGTTATGAGGTAACTGTGCTCAGGCCCTCAGGCCAAAGAATAAGTCAAAACGTTGAAAATCGACTTGTCTATCACTACATGCCCTTCACTTTTTTCTTCCTCTCTCTGTTCAGGAAGAAGCATGTGTCGGCCATTTTGAACATCCGAGGGATGACTCGCCAGGCGGAGCGTCAGGAGATTCTCAACATCGTCAAAGACATCGAGAGCAGCGATGGCGGTGGCAGTGGCAGCGACTGGCCCGCCTGTCCCGGATCACGCCCTCTTCTCAGAGGTGCCGGTCACCTCTGAGGTTCACTGCCTGAACGTGGGCCTGAGCCGCATCGCCCTCACCGCCTCGTCCTGCTTCAGCACGCTGCCCGCGACCCCGCAAGACCCGAACATCTGTCCAGGAAAACCCTGATGATGTTCTCTGAAGAGGAAACTTTTGAGGGGTCTGAATTGTTTTCTACTTTCAGCACAGTCACAACAATTATCAACTGAACCACTGTTGATGGAAGCTTTCCATCAGTCCAGCAAAAATAGTTTGTGTGTCTCGATTCTCTCAAAGACAAAG